CTGCAGGACTGACGATGTTGTAAACAAACCAACTCGGAGTTTCCCTTTTAGAGCGTCATCACCTTGACAAACACAATAAATTAGTTCGCGTTGTTTTGCGTTTCATTTATTATAGTAAAAACACTAAAATATCAGTATACACTTCAGACAAGAATCAAACATTTAACATTGTAGTACTATTTTTATGATTTCTTTACAAAATTAACGTAATAGAAATTTTTTACGGTGCCAAATTCAATGGGCTATATTTTCTGCCATGTCAGAATTCTTTGTTCAACCCCGTCAGTTTACTTTGGTGTACAATGAACAGCCACGGCTCACAATTGTTGACAGCATGAAACTATCCCCAAATTCAGCCTCGAACTCGAGCTGTGCCTTTGCATCACATTTACCAAGAGAATTAGCTCTGCGTACAGTGCTGTGTGTACGGGGACGCGTTTGGCCCTCTGATAGTTTCATACTAGTAATCAAGTTTTTCAAAATGCGTCTGGAGAGTAATGTTCTGTTTTTGTCCCGAATCATTCCATAACTTCCCAAGATGTGCTACAATCTTTATTATAGGTTTAAAAGTTTAATTTTCTGTTGTAGCCAATGGAGGGGGAGGATACAGAAGAAGGTGATATGACAATTGAAGATGTGGAAGGCTATGATGCATTGAATGAAGATACTTTCGGATGTGGAGCTACAAGTTAGTATTTCTCTAGTTTAAGTTTTTGTCTTGGGTATCATTGTTAGTATAGTGTAATTCAGGATTTTATGGCATTCGTCTGAAAACGGGGGCTTGTGGTTTGACCTCTGTGCGTGCGTGCGTGCATATGTGCGTTCGGACCTATATCTTAGACATGCCTGGACTGAATACATTCGAACTTCAAGTCAATTTATTTCACGATCTGATTCAAGATGGCTGAATGGTGGCCATTTTTGTGCTGAAAAATCATCAAAATCAAGCGTTTATGGATAGATATTGTTCAAACTTGGTGCATACCATTACGTTGGACATTATGGGACCTTGATGTACGTCATTTTGTTTTAATGAATGCAGTTCTAGTGCCATCTCTGCCATGCTTTGACTGATTATGTTAAAATATTCATTATAGATTATGTCATAGATGTAAAGATATATTTGTTTGACTATGTGATTCAAGGGTCCCTGATGCACATCATTTTATTTTTCAAATCTGATTCAAAATGGCTGACTGGTGGCCATTTTGTTTTAATGAATTTGGTTCTAGAGTTGTATCTGACAAGATTTGACTTAAAATTTTATATACTCATTCTACATCATGTTATAGATATACAGATGTATTCAAAATGGACGACTATTGGCTGTTTTGTTTTAATTAATGCTGTTCCACAGCAATATCTCTCAATATGAACAAGTACTCCTTTGACGATCCGATACAAGATGACTGAATGTCAATCATTTCAGTATTAACAAATCACCATAATCAAGCATCAGCTTCTGGATCCATTTCTGACATGTTTATGTTTGAATTGTATTACTATAAACAAAATTATCTTAAGTTTGATAACTAATGGGGACTGTATCATGCCTTGTTGTTGAAAATTCTTTGCTTCACACTGTTGTACTTGTTATTGTAGATGATAACTGGGAAGCCACCCATGAAAAATTCACCCAGGAATTGCATAGTTTTGAAGAGGAGGGTAAAGCAAACACAACAGCTGATTCAGGTTTCCACACTAGTGACAGATCAAAAACCCAAGAGGTAATGAACAAATATTTTGTTTTTTTGTTTACTTATTTGTTATCTATTGGAATGGATGCTAAAAAATACATATACATATGCAAGTGAAAGTGTTCATGTGTTCACTGCCCTCGTGAGACAAAGGCAGACAATGACTTTGTTTTACTAAACATCCATAAATCCTACTTGCATGGCATATATACTATATATATACAGATCAGTGAAAATTAAGTCAGAGACATTAATATTTTTTTTACTGTATTCTGTCTGACATTGATCTTGTTTGATATACCCATGTCATATACACAAAAATGTAGCAAGAATGCTGTCGCTCCAGTGTTCCCTCTTAGCAGATTTGGCATGTTTTTGTATCAATTACCTTGGATTGAATGTAATTCAATACAAAAAGCATCAAATTAAAAGTAACGTTTCTCAAAGTACCCAATATCACGAAGAAACCTAAGCTTTCTGGACTGGAAAATGAGGCTTAGAAAAAACATTTTTTTTATCATTTTTATATAGTCTTTTGAACTTGTAACATGAAGTGTTCATCAAATGAAAATAATTTGTATTAACAGGATGATTTTATGGAACAGAGTATAACTCATTTGGTGTTGGATGATGATGATATTGATGACCCAGCTATCATGATGTCTTCAAAATCAAGACCCATTGCTACAGCTCATGTAAGTCTTGCAAATAGCTGACTAATAAAAGCACAGATCTTCATGCTTCATGCGATTAGAAACTGCCTTTCATCTCCTGTGAAATTTTAAAATACGGATGTTCATGCAAGTTTAAATTTTTCAGCTAAACATCCCAAGTTTAATACATTTGATATGCCTCAATGATGGGTTCATTACTTGTGCAATATACTTTAAGTGTACAGTTCCTTTTCAGAAACTGTCACAGCATAATGACAATTTTTTAGTCGTGACTGGACAAAGTTACAAAACAGGCACTTATGTTTTGGCTTCTCTTCCTTCGTCTACTGCAGTTCTCAGACACATCTTGACCCAAATGCTATGTATAAAGATGAAACCTAATGGTATCCTGTGTATTCACTGATTTGAATGGCATCCATTTTTGTCCAAAAAAAAATATAGGGCACACTTGACTCTGTGCTTCTCTAAATTTGTAAGGGGTGATCTCGTATTCAAACACCTGGGTCAAACCTGGGTTAACCCGGCCTGCCCTTTCCTGCCCTATTCAGACCTACTAGACCTACAATATGCAAATTAGTAGCAGGTTTGAACCTAACCTCCGGATTAACTGCCCATTAACGCCCCCGCTGAAAGCAGGGAAACCTAGGTTTTTCTTACATTACTGTTTCAGCCTGGTTTCAGTAGGGAAAAAATAAGAAGTATACTATGGACCTCCATGTTCATACTGAGTGTTATATTTTGAAGTGTTAAGAATTACAGCAGCGATTTTTTTTTCTTTGCTAAGTCTCGTACATGTAAATGCTAACAAAAAACAAACTTGCATTTGTTTCACAAATCTATTTACATCATGTCATTTATAAGTGTGATGAAAATTATATTTATTTATTTATTTCTGTGATTGGTAATAATAATCGGTTTCCCACAACTTACATTTTGGTACAAGTCAATACAATTGTTAT